AAAAGAAATATAATTAAAGAGAAGACTCAAGACCTTTAAAGCATTTTTCACCCAGTCTTGAGCAATTGGATAAAAAGACTTGGCAGAGGAAGTTCAGGGGCAGCCCACTGAATATAGTGAACTCCAAATGAAGACAAATTCTTTCCTATCATAACCAAAAGCTATTTTTTAAAAGGTAGTATTGATAGACTCCTGGAATCCTTAATGTACAGTAAATCTCACACTGAGCCTATTCAGCCATACATTTGATGTATTTGTCACAGAAGGCGCCAAAAAATAAGATATAATGGGAACCTGACTATTTTATAGCTGATGTGCTGTCAAAACCTTGTAGAGTGAAGACGGAAAAGACAGTGGTCAGGCTCAAAGCAGAGAAAAGCCTTTGGGGGCAGGCTGACCCGGATTTTAATCCTAGCTGTCAGATTTTCTAGGTGTTTGCCTAGGCGAGATCCTTAATCTCTCTAAACCCCAGTGTCTTTATCTATAAAATGATAAAAAGTAATAGTTTTTGCTTTTTGGGGAGGCTGTGAGAACTACAGTAAATAATCCATAATGAGAAGCATCAGTAAATGGGAGCTTTATCAATATAAATAATACTATTATTATTTAGTTCCTGACTCACAGTTGGCTCTCAGGAAGTTTAGTTTCCTGCTTTCCTTTATCTAATTGGGCCAATATTTTTGAGAGTTTATTGTGTAAGGAACCACAATCCAGACCAACAACCAGTCAGTGGCTTTTTGCTGTCATACACCTGAAAGGAAACCTGAAAAAATGTATATATGCCCTTGCACATAATTTTTCAATATAAATTGAGAATAGGAAATTTTAATTTTCCCATGTATGGTAAATATTAGTATCTTAAAACTTATCTCATCTCTCTTTAGAATGTGCCCAATGGAATCTACATATCATGGCAATTTGATACCTAATATCATCCATTTAAACAAATATACAAATAAGTTTTTCTTTTAATAATAATAAATTTTATCTCATTCCATTTTTTTCCTTAAACTCTTATTTTCAGTCTACTTTGTTTAGAGAATTTTATTCTAATGTAATAATTTTTTATGTTTAAACACCTTTATTGATCAATCAAATGTAAGTATTTTTAAATTTTGAAAGTTAAAATTTCCCTAGGACACAAAAACCTAGGTATCAAATTCATTCTGGATTGAGTTATCATTGTAATTTATTATTTGTACCCAATTGATCAAAATAATGAGTATCTTACACATTTCTATGACTATTAAACAGTGAAATTTTTAACAGAAATAGATCTCTTAAAAAGAAGAAAGAGCTTTTCTCCCCCGCATAAGTTAATAGATCCATTAGTAATTGTTATTTCTTCCTAGAATGAGATATGATTGAGCATCAGTATCATCCTTATCTTGCGTTTTTATGGATGCAGGCGCAGTGAAGACTGGTTGCTACCATACATTGAGTTTGCAATGCCCTTTCCCCAGATCTCTGCCTTCTGGTTTCTTCTCACTCAGATGTGACCTCCCCAGGGAGGCCTCCCCTAGTGGTGAGATCTAAGTAGTCCCCCTGAACCCGGTTACATCATCATCATGGCACCTGTCACTGCAGACGCCTTGTTCCAGGGACTTCCTCTCAGCTAGAGTCTCAGTTCTGTGAGAGGAACCTTGTCTATTTCGCTCCTCGGTGACTTATGGTGGGCATTGTGATAGAAATGCTCTTGGATGAGTGAATGAATGATTCGCTTGTCTGAGCGGAGCATTCATTCACTGATGGAGCAGCCACAGGGAAAGGAACAGTTCTCTCTCCGTTATCATCCAACCAAGATCCTCTGAGTCCCACAACGGAAGAGGAATCTCCTCACTGACAGGGGAACCTAAGCTAGTGTCCTGAGATTCACCCTGGAGTACAACTGATCCTCCACAGGAACAATTAAACTTGGCTCGAAATAACAAAAGGAAAATAAACACAGAGAGTAACTGCAACTAGACAGTCTGGGACATTTTCAGCCTGGGCCCCTGCACGTGGTTGGGAACGCGTGGAAACACTTTTGGTTGCTGTGGGGTTGGGGGAATCCCTGCATTCACTCGGCCTCGCGCCCTCGCCTACAGCCACAGCAGTTAATAAGTAGGACGACCCCGCCCAGCGAATCTTGCGCCTACACGCGGCATTTCAGCTTCTTACACCCAGGAGGGCTCTCAAGCTACTCCAACGTTAAGTCCCCATTCCTGTCTAAAGCCTGTTTTCTGAGTTCAGGTTTTCTTACAGAGCAGTCTTTTCCCAAATGACCATCAGAAAGAATGCCCATGGCGTCTGGAGACAGCCCACCACACCCACCCTATCCAGGCAGTACAACACAACACAGGCCGACCATCAGTCCCAAAGCAGACACAGGTGACTCTTTAATTATTATTACGCTAGTGTGAGGGTAGGGGTGGGGGTGGGACTAAGGGTGGGATGGGGAAGGTGCTGGGAGAGGGGAAGAAGGAATGTTGTTGACCTAGGAAAAGCCAGCCCAGCAGGTGATGGATTAAATAGATTAAATAGATTTAAAACATCTTCTTATCCTTAACCCAGTGCATTTCAGTTTACTCTTTGTGAGCACTCGTACAAAACAGCAAGAACTTTCCAACTATGAGGCTTGTGAAATGTTCCCTAAAACACTTTCTTAGTCTATTCTTACTATTTGTTTTCCGTCCAATTAACCCAAATGGCCAGCTATTTTGTAAATTGTCTTCGGGATTAGATTTATTTTATACAGGCTTTGTGTCACATAAAGGCACAGATTCAACATGGTCTTTGCTGAGATTAGTCAGAGCGGCAGATGAAAGATAATTACCTCCTCCTAGAATGTTTATTTTCCTGTTAACAAAAATTTTAACCTTGAGTTTAAGAAATGCCCTTTAGCAGAAAGATTCCAGAATCTTGTACAGACAATAAACTTGAGATAATGGGGTCGACAGGCAGGGACTGGGGGGTGGGGCGGGGTAGAAGAAAGAGAAAAGAAAAAACATCAAGCTGTATTGAATGGCAAGAAATAGTGACGGAGCTTTTATCTTATTCTTCATAACCTCAGATGCAGCAACAACAAAAAAATTGATTGAGCATCTTCTATGTGCTCAATAGACAATTGTTGATTCAAGGCTTCTGTTATATGTACAATCCATGTATTAGTACCTTTTAAACCCATTATCAAATAGTCCTTACCCACTAGTGTTTATATTAAAAACATTTCACTAAAATCGAAAGCTTTGGTATTCAAAGCTTGGAAAACGGACGGCTGTCATTAATCAAGTAAAAAAAAAAAAACCTGCCTTATCCCACTTGCTCCAGCTGCCGGCCTTGAGTGAGGATGGGGCAAAATGGAAATACAGATCACCTGACAGCCGCCCCCTTTAGTTGCAGAAAATATCTCAAATAACAGGGTGCTCCCTTTGTTTATGCTTAGATTTCACGAACACGTGGGGATTGTTCCAGATTGCCCTTGATCACCGAAAGGTGCGGTCGACCCCAAAACTTTCCAAGTAAGTGGCCATTCTCCGCCAATGCACCAAGATACAGGCTTTAGGATTTCTTCCTAGGCCAAAGTTTCTTGACTTTTAAAACGGGCTAAAAGAGACGCGATTCGGGAAGGGCAGCGCGCTCCCAGAAAGCGAGGGGCGGGGCCCGCGCGCTCGGGGCGGGACCGACGTCACCTAAGCGTCACCGGAAGAGGCGGGGTCTCCGAATTGGTGGCGGGAAAGGAGGTGTCTGGAAAAGTCCCGGCGGACTCACCAGCCGCCCGCCCCCCTCCGGTACCCGCACCCACGCCCGCACCATGCCCGCCGCCGGCTCCGAACTGCCGCGCCCACCGTCACCGCCCGCCGCGCAGGAGCGGGGCGCCGAGCCGCCGTCGCCGCCGCCGCACGGGGAGCTGCAGTACTTGGGGCAAATCGAGCACATCCTCCGCTGCGGCTCCCGGAAGGACGACCGCACGGGCACCGGCACCCTGTCGGTGTTCGGCATGCAGGCGCGCTACAGCCTGAGAGGTGAGGCGGCCGCGCCAAGCGGGCGGGCCGGCGGGAGCGGGGGCTGCGCGCGGCGCTGCGGCGGGGGAGCGCGGTCGGCGTTCAGTCCTCACCTCAACCCTGTGAGGTGGGGAAGCGTCCTTGGCCCCGCTCTTCAGACCCCTAGACGGGGGCTCGGATTAGAGGAATGACTTGCGTAGGGTCACATGGGCAGGAGGGACAGAGCTGGGAGGTAAAGCCAGGTCCTCTGGCCCTTAACCACCCCGTTATGCGGTCTCCCCAAAGCGGGCACGATGCGCTAGTGTTTGCTCCAGACTGGAGGCGGGGAGAGGACCTGCCCGGGCTTGACCGAGGCCTTGGCCGTAGGGCCCCTTTTTGCCCCTCCCCGTCCCGCCGCGTGTAAGCCGTTCTGCTTTGCAAAGTTTTAAAAAATTGGAGCGAAAGTGGCGTGGGCGGGGCCGCGGCGGGAGAAGAGAGCTGAGAGGCAGGGGCGGGAACTTGATTCCCGACCGTTTTCCCAACGGTCCCTCTTAAACCTTGAAACAAAGGCAAGATTCTGAGCCGAGTAGTTCTTTCTTTTCCTTTAAAACGGCGACTCCTGGGAAGAAGTGTCTATTGGGGGTTGTTAGGGTCAGGCTGACCGGGACCAAGGGGCGGGATAGGGGTCGGCACCGGACATAGATCCATGAAACAGGTGTGGAGGGTCGTTTTGAGTGGGGAGACCCGCTAGCGGTGAAGCAGAATCACCGAGATGTGGGGAGAAACCCTCCACCTCACACCCAGTTCTGGAGGCTAGGAAATACGGGGCTATAGTGGCGGATCTGGCTGGGGCAGCTTGGGCAATTTTGTCGGAGCCGAGGGTTCATCTTCCTGCAGCTCCAGCGCAGTGGCCTCCAGTGAGCCACAAACCCCCTTTTTTCTCCATCCCCTCTGCTTAGACCTTGGGCAAGTTGCTTAACCTCTCCTATCTTCAGCTTCGCCATATGCTCAAAATGGAGGAAATAATCCTCCAAACGGTGGGTAGTAGGTGCTTGCGGAATCCATCCACGTCACATGAATAGCAACTGTACGACTTACGATGTGGACTGAATGGGTACCAAATTTACAGATAAGCTTTTATATTTTTATTTCTCTATTGCTTGATGCAAACTTATAGAGATCATAAGGGAGCCTCGAGTGTTGTTTTGAGGATTAAGTTGGATCATGCATATCAGATATTTAGGCAGTTAACTTTCTGGTACACTTAAAAAATAGAGATTAATTTGCTTTGCAAATATTTTAAAACTATTCAGATTTGGCCAGAGCCATATCAACTATCCCCTGGTTGTGAGCAAGTTTTCCCTGGCAGAATGATCATGGAATAGTCTTCAGACTTTGTCCTAGGGCACATTTTGTAGATTGTCTTCACACCTCTTGGAAGGGTTTACACTAGGTAGTGGAGGGTAGCTCTTCCCTGTCTGTGGGCATCCCTGCCCCACCTCATTGTGTGGAACTCCTGTGTCCTGTGATCAAGGGGCTCAGGAGGGTGGGCTCAGTCTGAACTGTGTCCTGACTTGGGACTGCAGCCTGGGAGCTCCACTCTGATCAGAGGGGCCCAGAGGGTAGAAGCTGCAGTTTTCCAGCTGCTCCTGCGGTCACTCCTGGGCCTAATGTCCTGGGGGCAGTTTGCTTCCACAGAGAAAGTTGGATGGCATGTTCAGTTTTCCCATCTTGAAATTACATGGCAAACTGTTTTCCAGATGAATTTCCACTGCTGACAACCAAACGTGTTTTCTGGAAGGGTGTTTTGGAGGAGTTGCTGTGGTTTATCAAGGTAAAGAATTTGCTGCTATTTGGAAATCAATAGTCTGTTCTCAATATAGCACCAGCGAGATCCTTTTAAGAGTCAGATCATGTCACTCCTCAGCCTAGGTTTGGTTTGGGGGCGGTGGTGGGGGGAGGTATATATATATATTTTTACTGAAGCATAGTCAGTTTACAATGATGTGTCAATTTCTAGTGTACAGCACAATGCTTCAGTCATACATGAACATACATAATATTCGTTTTCATATTCTCTTTCACCATAAGTTACTGATATTGAATATAGTTACCTGTGCTGTACAGTATAAACTTGTTATTTATCTATTTTTTATACATTAGTTAGTATCTGCAAATCTTGAACTCCCAACTTATCCCTTCCCACCTCTTCCCCACTCCCCAACCATAGGTTTGTTTTCTATGTCTTTGAATCTGCTTCTGTTTTGTAAATAAGTTTTTTTCTTTAAGATTTCACGTATAAGTAAAATCATACAGTATTTTTCTTTCTCTTTCTGGCTTCGCTTAGAATGACATTCTCCAGGTCCATGCATGTTGCTGCAAATGGCATTGTTTTATTATTTTTTATGGCTGAGTAGTATTCCATTGTGTGTGTGTGTGTGTATACACCACAACTTCTTTATCCAGTCATCTGTCAGTGGACATTTAGATCGTTTCCATGTCTTGGCTATTGTAAATAGTTCTGCTATGAACATAGGGATGCATGTGTCTTTTTGAATTAAGGTTCCCTCTGAATATGTGCCCAAGAGTGGGATTGCTGGATCATATGGTAAGTCTGTTTTTAGATTTTTGAGGAATCTCCATACTGTTTTCCATAATGGCTGCACCAAACTATATTCCCACCAGCAGTGTGGGAAGGTTCCCTTTTTTCCACACCCCCTCCAGCATTTATTGTTCATGGACTTTTGAATGATGGCCATTCTGACTGGTGTGAGGTGATAGCTCATTTAGTTTTGATTTGCATTTCTCTGCTAATTAGCGATATTGAGCATTTTTCATGTGCCTTAGGCCATTCATGTATCTTCATTAAAAAATTACTTGTTTAGATCTGCCCATTTTTGGATTGGGTTTTTTTTGTTGTTGTTATTAAGTTGCATGAGCTGTTTATATGTTCTGGAGATTAAGCCCTTGTCAGTCTCATCTTTTGCAGATATTTTCTTTTTGTTTTGCATATGGTTTCCTTTGCTGTGCAGAAGCTTATGTTTAGTTAGGTCCCATTTGTTTATTTTTGCTTTTATTTCCATTGCCTGGGTAGACTGCCCTAGGAGAGCATTGCTGAGATTTATATCAGATGATGTTTTGCCTATGTTTTCTTCTAAGAGGTTTATTGTCTTGTCTTATGTTTAAGTTTTTAAGCCATTTTGAGTTTATTTTTGTGTCTGGTATGAGGGAGTATTCTAACTTCATTGATTTACATGCTGCTGTCCAGTTTTCCCAACACCATTTGCTGAAGAGACTGTTTTTACTCCATTGTATGTTCTTGCCTCCTTTGTCAATGATTAATTGACCAAAGTTTGTGGGTTTATTTCTTGGCTCTCTATTCTGTTCCATTGATCTATATGTCTGTTTTTGCACCAATACCATGCTGTCTTGATTACTGTAGCTCTGTAGTATTCTCTGAAGTCTGGGAGGGTTGTTCCTCCAGCTTCTCCCTCTTTTTCTTCAGTAATGCTTTGGCAATTCTGGGTCTTTTGTGATTCCATATAAATTTTAGGAGTATTTATTTCTAATTCTGTGGGAAATGTCCTGGGTAGTTTGATAGGGTCACATTAAATCTGTAGATTGCTTTGGGTAGTATGGCCACTTTTAAATTTCTTTGATTTCATCGTTGACCCATTGGTTTTTTAGTAGCATGTTTAGTCTCCATGCTGTCGTTTTTTAAGGGGGGACTTCTGAAGCAAATGTGAAAGATAGAGAAATGAGCTGTTTGAAGTGAAAAAAATTAGTACAAACTCAATGACAGAAAGGAAGATGCTCAGAATTAAACTGCATTCGCTTGGTTTATTTTAAAGCTTGAGTGCAGAATTCTAATAAATCCTTTCTGGGAACACATCAGACTCAGTTCTGATACAGTCTCTCCATGGGTGACTCAAAAAATATAGAAGTCAGAAGCTGTAATTCAGCTGGATCTTCGAGCAAGATGGAGAGCGAATGTCTGTACAATAGTTAGTATCTGTTGAGTGCCAAGTGCTTTGCTTGTATTATCGACTCTTCACAGGAATACTTGTGGCGATTACTACTCCTGTGCTCTTTTTTAGATGCAGATAGTGAAGCTAGAAGGGTCGGGGGTGGGGGGCAGGCATGGAGCCCAGGTGTCTGCGGCCTTATAGCCTTGCTGGTAACCATTGCAGCACATTGTACCCAGAGGCCAGAGGGATCTGTCCTTGACCTGGACACATGATCAGGATACGGGTTAGGATGACATGGGTCAAATCTAATGAGAGATATGCACACACACATACATATGCATATATATTTGAGAAAGAAACATAAAGCTTGTACTTGGCACCAAAAAAGCAAAACTCAAAAAACACACCTTAACTTTGCAAGTAGAGATTGGGGGTAAACAGAACTTGATAGGAGCACATCTAAGATAGATGACTGATGTATTTGCCAGAGAAGCTTATACTGATCGGACCGATCAGTGGAAATACCCTAGATGTCATCTCTAAATAACACCGAACAGATTGCACGTGAAGCATTAAATTCACTCCGGAGTATCACGGGTGGACAGAACACATTTGGTTAAGAAACACAAGACTGATGGACTAGATGGGGGTAATCAAAGGACTTGGAGGTGTTTAGTGTAGTTGAGGGAAATAGGAGAAAAGATTTGAGAGGGTGATTCCAAAGGAGCGATCAGGCTGTCCTGGGGGCCCTCAGGAAGTCTAGCTAACTGGTCTGCTTAATGATGGGACAAGCTGCAGGGACGTGTCAGGGGCCCGTCCCCCGTGTGTCCGTACAGGCCACAGCCCGCCTGGTGGGACGCTATTAGGGAACGGACTCCGAGGGCAAGGAGTCACCCGGTGCCTGCTCTTCCCCCATCTCCTCCAGGGATCCACAAACGCTAAGGAGCTGTCTTCCAAGGGAGTGAAAATCTGGGACGCCAATGGGTCCCGAGACTTCTTGGACAGCCTGGGATTCTCCACCAGAGAAGAAGGAGATCTAGGCCCGGTTTACGGCTTTCAATGGAGGCATTTTGGGGCCGAATACAAAGATATGCATTCAGGTGAGGAGACGGCGTGGGGCCTCAGATTTCCTGAGCGCCTGTCATGGCCCGAGTTTGCCTTGTTGCAAGTGAAGTCTGGAAGTCAGTGTCCGGGGAGCTGATGTATAACTTTGACCAGGTGAAGGGGCCAGGTCCCACGCTCGGTTGTTGGCACTTGCTGGGTCTTGGCATTTCGCCTGCCTTGTTTCACTAGCAGGTAGTGACACGGTGGTTGGTCGCTGTGTCGGGGAATAGTGTTGAAAGTTCATCTAGGGGACAGGAGTCCCAGGGGTTGCCTTGTGGTGGCTTTGATCTCCCTTTTTAAGACTGAGCCACCGAGCACAGTGATGTGTCAGCACAGATCTCTGGGTCACCCTCTCCTCCCTGTGCTGCTGGGATGGAGGAAGATGAAGCATCTCACTGCTGGACCTCCACTCTCCTGTCACTTGGGGGCACCACTTGCTGATTGTCACAGAGCCCAGCCTGGTCCTTTGACCCTTCCTGTCCCCCTGTCCTTAGGTCAGGGGGTTGCAAAAGCAAACGCCCACCTTGGTGTGTGTGTTGGGGTGCATGCATTTGTGCACACAGGAAGTAACAGTTTGCTTGCTGGGCAGAAACCAGCGACCTCAAGAGCATGTCTCAACTGAAGGGGGCAGTCACGCCTCAGCTCTAGGCAGCTGGAGGGATTTGAGCCCAATGTTGTCAGATTCTTCAATGAAAGTTTAAAACCTGCATTATACATGCAATCCTGAGATCTTTGGAATGTTGGCAACTTCGGTAAGTTAAAAATGCTGTGCTGAGCTGGAATAGGGAGATTCACAGGCAGAGGGGATGGTGCCAGGGGCTGGGGCGGGGAGGTTGTTTAATGGGGACAGAATTTCAGTTTGGGAAAGTGAAAAAGATGTAGACTGGATAGTAGTGATATTTGCACAACATTGGGAATGTACTTTATACCACTAACTGCACACTTAATAATCATCAAAGTGGTCAATTTAATGGTACATAAATTTCTCCACTAAAAAAAGTGCTGTGTGGGTTAAGCTATTTGTGCAGGTAAGTGGGCTGTCTGTTGTTACAATGCAGCCTCTGTCCTCCAGCATCCTCAGGATGTGAGACTACACCCTTGGCTTAATTGTGCCTTAAATCCTGCCTGGGGGTGGCGGGTGCAGCGGCGTAATGAAATTAAGGCCTTGGAGTTGTAGAAATGCTTAGCTGTTGGGTTTCAATACAGGAGTTTATGTTTTTAATTTTTACCTTGAAATAATTATAGGTTCAAGGGAAATTGCAAAACAGAAAAAAAAAGTAACTTCTCACATTATCAGTGATTAAAATCCACATCACTTACCAGATTTCTCCAGTTTTACATGCACTCATTTGTGTGTGTGTGCGTGCGTGCATGCATGCATTAGCACATGTAGATTTATGTAGCCACCATCACCATCAGGATACAGAACTGTTCCATCACAGTTCATCTTTTTTTAATCTTTGGTACTACCTTTTTTGAAACTGTGATCGTGACAGGATTTCTTCTCCCTAAACTAAGAACTGCTGGACCAGAACATAGTCTGACTCCACTAAGCAGAAGTTTAACAGGGGGTGGGGCTGTGAAGCTGTGCACATTCTCAGCTTCCAGTTCAGAAGGAAGGCAAGGAGCTCAAGTCCAGACCAGAGATGGGAGAAAAGTACAAGGGTGGTACAATAATGACAGAAGTTTCCTGCTGTTTCCACGTTAGCAGGTGTTTGGCTGCTAAGTTGTGGTTTCAGGTGGGAGTGTGGGAAGGCTAGTGTCTAGATGACAGAAAGGAATCTTCGTGCTGTGTTAGGTGGACTGTGTGTGGAGGGTAAATCCCACTGAAGGGCCAGCACTGCACCTGGCAATGAAGTGTCACGGGAGTGGTCAATGGTGGGGAGACCACGTCCCATCGGGACCACTGGAAGAAGCAGACTGTAGAGGATGAAGGAGGTGAGCAGTAGGAGAAGGGGTGGGGGACTCCGAGGCCAGGTATGTAAGGTAGATAAGAAAACAGACTTGGTTATGGCTCCAGAGCACAGATAGGGCCCTGAACTCAGCATAACCCAGCGAGCTTGAGAACTGTGTAGGGTCCACAGAGTAGCGTGTGACTGTGGGCCACAGGGGGCTGTGGGAGGACGTTGTGATGGACAAGCTCTTAAGGCCATCATGCTGGATGCTGTGATTAATGTGTGCGGTGTTCTGTTTGCCAATTCTGCAGATTATTCAGGCGAAGGAGTAGACCAACTGCAAAAGGTGATTGACACAATCAAAACCAACCCTAATGACAGAAGAATCATCATGTGTGCCTGGAATCCAAAAGGTGGGGAGCATCCCAGTCCTCCTCTTTCGTCCTGGCTGCCTGGCGCAGAGGCGCTGGGTGGGAGGCCTGCCTGCTTGTGTGACCCGGGCTGCTCACACGTGGCCCACTTTCACCTTCAAAGGAGGGCTTGGGCCCAGATGAATTAATCTGTGTATTTTTTGGCTTTAAATTGCCTGTAAAAATACACATGAGAATTTAACATTTTAAATTGGGGCAGATGAAGTTTCAGATCACTTCCACCTCACTATTAGAGATACTTTAAACAGTTATATTGTAAAAACTAAACTATACCAAGGTGTAATAGATGCCCAGAGTGGAATATCTGCACTTATGATTTGCATTTATGATTAGAGATTTGGAATATAGGAGGGTGTGCCTGAGACGCCAGTATACTGAGGCCCCTGTGAAAGAATTCATCCCTCCTATGCTTATAGTTCGGTGCACGAGTAATTTCAGCTCGGACGGGAGCGTGTAGCTTCAGCTGTCAGCATACATCCACAGAAGTGTCATGTTGGTGGACGGGTCTCCGTCAGCCTTAGGCCATCCCTGGGGCGGGAACGGTCCGTGAGGGGCAGGTGGGGATCGTGGGGTTCACTGGCCAGTGGCTCCTGCTCACCATCTCCGCTAGATGAATTGGCTTCTGTTTGTCACGTTGCCTAGAGCTGTGTTCTTTAAAGCTACTGCCCTCCTGACTTTGCCCTGTGCTGGCTCCTCAGATCTCCCGCTCATGGCCCTCCCGCCCTGCCACGCCCTTTGCCAGTTCTACGTGGTGAACGGTGAGCTGTCCTGCCAGCTGTACCAGCGGTCGGGAGACATGGGCCTGGGCGTGCCCTTCAACATCGCCAGCTATTCCCTGCTCACCTACATGATCGCACACATCACAGGCCTGAAGGTAGGCTGCTCTCGGGGAGGAAGGGCTGTCACCAGCCTAACACACTGAGCTCTCAGATCCTGCAGCGTGGAGGGACTGACTGCAGGGAAGTCTGCCTCTGGTCTTTAACTGTGATACACGTACGTGAGGGACGAAGGGGCTCACTCTGTAACCTCCATGGCACTTTCCCGCCCTTGTGCTTTGTGCAGACTAATAGGATCAGGTGGCTTATTTATTATAATTTTGATGAATCAACTTTTCTCAAAAGCGACAGTGAGTAGATTCCTTCTGAAAAGCTTTGGGGGTGTCTGCATACTCTGTCGTGTGTTTTTACCCAATGTGTTTTAAAGGAATTGAAACTAAAACGTACTGTTCTGCTTTCTCCCGTGGGGTTAGCCAGGTGACTTTGTACACACTTTGGGAGATGCACACATTTACCTGAATCACATTGAGCCGCTGAAAATGCAGGTAAGCAATGTGTCTGTCACGCTGTGGCACTTGGTGTCTTCTATTGATAAAAAGTCGCTATGAGAAACACCCCTCGTGTGCTAAAAGGCTTTCTCCTGTGAGGGAGGTAAGAGGCACTTCTCCCACCGTGGGGCTTCAGTTGAGGGATGGTGGCCAGGGACAAGGCGGACAACCACAGGCACTTAGCAGGACAGGTACTGTGAGATACTGAGTACCAGTACCAGAGAGAAAGAGCCAGACCAGGACGTTTGGGACCTTCCCAGAAGTGGCATTTTAACTTATTTTTACTTGGAACAGTGTTTAAATGTAAATATTTTCCTTTAATTTTATGCTAAATACAGTACTTAACAGCAGTTACAGCAGCCAACAAATGATTTGAAATGGCAATAAAAATATTAAAGTCTATACTTAATGAATGCAATTCAAATGAAAATTCTTTTAGCCCCTCAGATTAGCTCTGGGCTTGGAAAGTTCCTTCTCTGAGGGAGTGTGGCTGCTGTGACTGGAGGCGACGCCAGGGCTCACCCAGGTGCTTCCCTGGCAGCCGCTCCAGCCGTGCCGGCCAGGGCACCCCGAGGCTGTGGCTGGTGTCCACTCCGCACTGCCGCCGTCTGCTCGGCCAGGGAATCCTGGCTGGCACCCCCTCCTGTTAGCTGTCAACACACGCCAGCTTTCCTTGCCCTTTCTGCCAGGGGGCAGTTGGGATAGGGACTAGAGGACTCTAAGCATCCTGTAACTACTTTTTATTAAAGTAAAAAACTACGTGTGACCCATTCTTATAGCAGTCGACTTTAAGAACTTACACCTGGTGAGCCACCCGGCTCCTGACACCACGTGATTATTTCACTGAGTACCCGTCATCCGCCGCGTGGGCCAGGGACAAGGTGTCTGCAGAGTTCCACCTCTGCAAATCATCACTGTTGGTGAAATGCTGTTTGTTTCACAAAGGGACACAGGGAGCAAAATGAAAGTGGGTTTTATCGATCTGGCAAAATAATAGTCTTCTATTGTTTTTCAGCTTCAGCGAGAACCAAGGCCTTTCCCAAAGCTCAAAATCCTTCGAAAAGTTGAGAAAATTGATGACTTCAAGGCTGAAGACTTTCAGATTGAAGGCTACAATCCTCATCCGACTATTAAAATGGAAATGGCTGTTTAAAGTGCTTTTAAAGGAGTTGTTTGAAGCATATTTACACCCAGGTAAAAGTTCACTTTGCTCTAAACTAGGTCAGAAACCTGTTGGTGACCTATCAGTTACTCTTCATTAACTTTTAAGGACGTTGCCACTGGTGGATAGAACTGTGCTGGTTCTCTTAAGTAGTAAAAAGGCCTCAAGTTTGTTTAACTCACTGAGGATGTATGAAAATGTCGAGATTATGAATACTGTCAGGACAGAGAAAATTTATATATCTTAACAAAAACATGTACATGCATTCAAAACCATACTCAAACTTCATAATGTTTTTTATGAAGATGGTCTGTGAGTTTCAAGAATTACATAAGCTATTCCCCCAAATTTCAGCAAGCTAAAAATGCCTAGCGTGGTTATAAACATTTAAAGTTACATTTGTTTTTATATCTTGCTATAATAAAGAAGGGTTCTGCATTCATCTGGGGTTTTTGTTTAATTCCATAGTGCCATTGGTCTGCTTAGTTCCTGCCTCAAACGTTTAGCTGAACCCTCCTGAGCAAACATATGCTGTGTTCTTGTTTGGATGCTGCTTTGAAATGCAGACTAAGGTATATTTTGCCCTATTTTCTGTGATTCGTGTAATTCTAGCTGCATTTTATCATTAAAATGCAATGATTATTTAGGATAAAGTCATTTTTTAAGGGTTATAAAAATGGTCTGTGAAATAGCGTTTTACCCCCGTTAGTTTCAGTATGGAGATTTCTCTAACAACATGCTTAGACTGGGGAGGAGGAAAGCTGCCGCCCTGTCTCAGGGCTAACCTTCTCCCTCTGAAGCATTGCAGGCAGATCATGGTGACTCCAGTGCCGGGGAGAGACCGTGGTACTGCTGCAGGACTCTTGTTATGATGCTAATTTATGACTAAGTGTTAAAAAGAAAGAATAAGGAATTATTCCAACAAATAATGCAATATGCTGCTTATTTTCAAAGTACAGTTTAATGTCTAGGTACCAGCACTGGATAGAAATTATTTAAGAACATCTTCCTGGACTTTGAGTTGGCTGGATCTAGCTTTGTTTAAGGATTATGTAGGAGAATGTGTTTATTTACTGAAAGAACCAAGTGCTAATGATGACTGAGCTGAGGCCTGAAGTTAGTGTGACTTTCAGCTGAACTTGTTTTGAGTGGCAGGGTTTTTTTTCTTTTTCTTCTATTTTTGTAAAACCATATGCAACACACTTTAAGCCTATTCACTTAGAAAAGCAAAAGGTGTTAGAGCTGAATTCTTAATCCCCTTGAGCACCAAGGCGCTTCTTCCAGACTTCACCATCCGGATACTGGTGTTTCTTTACAGATTCCTCCTTCATTTCTGTTGAATAACCAGCATCCTAGCAAAGCCAAAAAATGGTGTAGTGTTCAATGACTTTTGTTTCAGGTGGCTATTATCTTATGTATTTCTGCTGCTTCTAGAAATGCTTTTAAATCTAAGCCAGAAGCCACTGAAGTAACATTTTTAAAAGTTTTCAGGTTTGAAATGGAGGAGAGGGACACACCTCACTGTGTCTCAGGATTAGGTAGTAACCACACTCCCTTCATAGCTCGACCTCTGTTGGTGAAAATGAGCCCCATCTTGTGAACAGGACGATAAATGGCCCAGATTACACAACTGCAGTCAGAACTCTTCAGTCCACTAAAATTTCCTAGCTGGTGCCAGGTACTTTTTGTTTGTTCGGGCGGGGGGGGGGGCAGCAGCACGAGGAGTGGATGTTTCAAGGCCCAGCTGGTGCAGCAAGGCTGGCATTAGAGAACCCTTATCGGGGCGACTTCACCCCCACATCCTGACCTTCAGGCCTGGGGAATCTGACGTTGACTAGAGAGCCATTTGTTTCTAGATGCTGAAAATAGGCTGTCAGGAGACAAAGCTCTGTGCTGGGGGTGGGGGGTGGTCCTAGCTCACAAGAGCATGGCAGGGCTGGCAGCACATCCTGGGGGGGAGGCCTTGCCGGCCAGGCTCACCTTAGGGGGCATGTAGGATGCCTCCTTGATTCTCACAGGATACTTGAAGTGTTCGTGCAGGTGGTCGACATACTCACACATCCTAGGAGGAAGGAATCGGGTTGGGGCGATACTACCTGCAGTTAGAGAGGCCGTGTGGTGCTAACTGTTAAGGCAAAGAAAGGGTAGACTGGTCAAGGCTTGGTCGAGACCACATGTTTCTATGCAAATCCTTCACCCTCTGGACCTTAGGTTCTTCTCATCTGTGAAGTAAAGCAGTGTGGGGGCTTGAATGAAATGAACCATTAAGTCCTAACTAAACGTCTTGTGACCTAAAAGGTATCAACTTAGACTCCGTAAATATTTGGGATTATTTGAATGCCTTGAGCTGAAAGATGAATAGATTAAAGTCACCAATTGAGGTCCCTTACAGCTACACAAATGATTTAGAAGAAGGAAAAGCACAGGTTTTAGGGTCAGACCAGGTTCGGTGTCAGCCACTTTTAGCTTTGTGACTTGGGCCACGCGATCTAACCCTCCTGCCTTACTGCGGTCACCGGTTAATGAACAGCTATGCTGGGCAGGCCCTGTGCCCTGTGTAATCCACAGTCAGCAGGCTGCCGATGAAGAACTGGCCCCAGGGAAGGGGGTTCCACACACCGGTGGCAGCGCGGCAATGCTGTGTGACAGCTTGGGGCGTCTGTGTCTGGTGGTGGTCCTGCTTACACAGCAGCAGCCCCAGCAGTGAGGCCGGCTTTCAGCGGGGCGTGAGGCTCTTACCCCTTCCTGGGTACGTGGGTTAGGGCTGACCCTCTTTTTCCCGTCCCTCAAAACTTGCAGGACCATCAAGGTTGGCCGGAACTCCCCCTTGGTCCTGCTTTGAGGAACTGAAGTGAAGGGGCAAAAGCAGAATAATCACGGAGTGTTCACTTTTATAGTTTAAACTATCTCAGGCATAATACTAAAACCCAGCTGAAGGAAGAGCCATTACTCTACAGTTAAGCCCCCAGCTGGTCTCAGTCCCATCGCTCTCACTCCTGAACCTGATGTTCACCTTTGCCATGTGTGTCTTTATGCTTTCATGAGGTGCTCCTCAAGATCTTACTGCAACAGAACATTTAATTCTAGGAGGAAAGAAAAGCATAATAAAGCCGTGTCTGCAGGTGACTGGAAGGAGGCTGTCCTGACTTAAAGCTCCCCTGGGACATGTTAAGAAATAAAATGGAACTAGAAGATGCAGCCAGATCATGGCAACTCCAGTGCTGGGGAGAGACTGGACAGAAGCAAAAAGTACACATGTGATGAAAACGGGGGCTTCACAAAGTCAGAAACAGGAGCTGGTTTTGGAAAGAGTTCTGGTTTCCACCTGGTTGCAAACTGCCCCCACACTGCCATATACCTAGAAAACAGCCAGTCAGCTACCAGGATCCCACCCTCTAGAAGAAGACAAGGAGTCTATTCAGTGGCGGGTCTCTGTTGTTACTGCCCCATGTGAAGGGGAAGCAAAACTGCATGGGAGTTACTGATGTGCCAGGGGACAGGGTTCTTAGTGCCTCTGGTCATGAGAGCAGAATTTTTAAAGATCTGGCCTGGATTGGGAGACAGTCCTGAAGTTGATGCCACGTCACTGACCTGTCTTTAAGGCTCGCAGAGACAGATATGAAGTCGAATATAATCAGATGCTGCACCAATTCACAGAGGCCAACTCCACCAGCATGCGGGCACACGGGAACTAAAACGAAGACAGATTTCTACTTAATGCCAAGTGGGGCAGAGAGGGGGACGTGAAATCGGGGGACCTATGGCTTTCCCTAGTGCCTGAGAGTGATTAAATCAGGTTAAAAAACAAACAAACGAAGACTGAAATTCCAGGATGAAAATCATCAGACTCCCTGGTTAAGCCTAAACGAGAGTTAGGAAACAGTCAAAATGGCAAACTCCAGAGGGAAGCGCAGGAGTGCGACAGGCGGGGAAGCGGCGCCCTTACCGTCAAACTTCTTGGCCATCAGCAACACCGCGAGGTTCTCGTTGACGCTCCCCAGCCTACAGCTGTCGATCTGGAGAAACTGCAGAGCTTTTGCCTGTAGGAGCTGCTTAAATATCACTCTGTTGTGGCACTGGAAATAGAATTAAGATAAATCAACGGAAGAGTCAGCCTCAACCTTCAGGACCTCAAAACCTGGCACCGTGCCAATTCCGAGTGGGTCGTCAGTGGCCTCCAGGAAGCCCGGCCTGTACCCACTCTTCCTTCTCACTCCGCACACTGAGCCCCGACAGCCAGCCCGGGCCTCCCACCCACTTAACTACACATCTGCTGGCGGAACCGTGTGTCCCATGAAAGTCACACCACTTGCCACCTATGCGGGCGTGACCGCCACAGCGACTGGTAAGTGGGAGATGAAATATCAGGCTGAAATACAGGGATGGCGACGAGCAGGTGGCGCGGGTGACAGAACAGAAGCCTGGCAGAACGGCTCTGCTCCTTTCTCCAGGGAAGCCGGGATCCACTCGCCCGCAGCGCTCGCTCACGGCTGCCCGCCGTGCACGTTGGTAGGCACTCGTGCTTCATTTATATGCACAGAAAGGGGCTGCAGGCATGTTTACACAGTTGGGAAGCTGGCTTTCTTAAAACCACACAGTGCATTTTACGCCCCTGCAACTTTAAATTGCTGCCTTGTAAATTCTGATAAGAGAATTTGAAAAAGAGAAATGACCTTAATAATAGAAATTGTACAAAAATATACCAACTCTTGACTATCTGACTCCGGACTCTAAAAGTGCTATAAAATGATACAATTTGTGATATTAAGAAAATCTCCCAACGCAGATTAACAGGTGATGTAGCCTAACGTATGCCAGTGTCCTCAGTCAGTGGCCGGCGTGTGCTGACCCCAGAGAGCCGTCACTCACTTGTTCTCCCGTGGCAACGCCAATTCCCAGTGGGGCCAATGCCTGTAAAATATAAGGCCACCTGGTGTTATTCTCCTAAATTTTGAACTGAGACACCTAATGTTTAAAACTATTTAGAGCTGAAGAAGGAAATATCCCTGCCATCAAGCCATGTGAGGTTTAACAAGCAGCAGAAGGCGGCCAAGGGGATGTGTGCGCCCAGGAGGGGAGTGCGTGTGTGCACAGGACGGGGGCGTGTGCAGGGGAGAAAGCCTGTGCCTGGGCTGGGGGCAGACACGGCTGTTCCGCAGTGGTTCACGGGGTCCAGCCTCTGGCTGACTCCTTCCTATAGGTCATCTCTCCCTTTACTGCCCTCTTGTCTCCCTGATGACCCCCGTCAGGGGTCATTCTAAACCCCTACCTCCCTTCAGATTCCATGGGCGGCCTGAGGTCCTGCCTTGCAGGTTCAGCTCAGCTCATTCCTCACCTGGGGAGGTGTTGGAACCTTCTCTCTAGCACAGCAAGGCTGCTCCCCGTCCCCCTGCCCGACGCTGCCTCACCGCCCTCCCACCTGGGCTCTGGTTTACTATGGCTACTGATGGAGCTGCTCAGTCAGAGGACACACAAATCTTGGGCTCCCAGAAGCTATGCCTCCTCGTAAGTGGACCACCCAGTGTTCGGGCTTTCTAGATCACTGCTGTGAACTCGGCTAATGGGAGACTTTTCCTGAAAGACAGGATGTTTCTCAGATGTTCTGAAGTGTCAGGTTCTTCCTACGCCTGAAGGGGAGAGAAGCCAGCCTGCAGCTCGGGTGGATTTGCCCGGGAAGTGCCTGGTGCGAGGGCCCTAGGGAGCGGATGGGCAGCCTTCTCTTGGGGAGGCCTGCTCTTGACGTCAGCTAAGCAAACCCAGAGGAATCTACACTTTGTTTCAATCTGGGTGAGTAAAATATTGAGTACCAGTCAGAGTTCTAAGTTTTACAAAGTATGGGAATCAGGTCTGTTAACCTTCGGATTGGCGGTAGCCTTCCAACGTTTAGCAATTTACTTTCTCTACAACAGAAGTGTCAAAGGGGATGAGCCCAGGGCTCTCAGGCTGTCACGACCACCCTGGCAGCAGTGGTTTTCCTGCCTTGGAAATGGCGGCGTGTCCCAGGATGTCGTCGGGGGAGGTGGGCTCCTCGATCCACAACGGCCTGAACTCGGCCAGCCTCGCCATCCACTCCACGGCCTCGGGCACATCCCAGCGCTGGTTGGCATCCATCATCTGTGGGCAGAGAGCCTTGGTGGAGAGGTCTGCCCGCTGCTGACCCTGCTGCAGGGCAGTGGCTCCCGGGGGCAAGTGTTGTCCCTCAGTGCCACTGACTGCTGAGGCCCAGCATGCAGCCACTACAAAGAGGGTTGCAGAGCAGCCGCCAAGGTGAACTCTGGCTCCAGATACTGCCTCAGAGGAGATACAAACCCCTCAGGGAGCAACCGTGAGGCCCGGAAGTGCTCTGGGCTGGGCCTAGGAGACTTGCTGGCTGGCCCTGGAGCCAAGTGCGCTGGTGTTGCAGGCTTGGTTGTTTGTAGGAACTGTTTTATCACATTCTAATCATTCACAGTTAATACCGAGTTTGTTCAATAGTCACTGATTGGCTATTGCCTAGTATGCACAATAATAACCCAAACTCCACCATTAATTAAGCCCCTACTCCACCAGGCATTTTATGGATTCTGTCCCATTTAATATTTATAACTATGAGGCAGTTCACGTTAACCCATTTTTACAGATAAGAAAACTGACATGCAGAGAAGTAACTTCCTCAAGGACAGTAAGTCAAATAAATTACAAGTTCCGATCCAGGCCTCTCACCTCAAGGCCTGGGCTCTCTCTGTGTGGGGAGCCTGCCTGCAAGCCAGGTGCTCGATGTGCAGAGACCAAGAAAAGGTCTCTCCTTCCCCGATAGCACACTTGGAGAAAACAGACACAGGGATGGATTCCTCTAGTAGAATGTGCTAAGTGGCAAGAGGCCCCTTGGTGGATGCTGTGGGAACCAGAGGACAGTGCGCCCAGAATCAATTTGTATCGTAAATTATTGACATGAGGATGAGCTCGTAAGACAAGAGTAGCATTAATTCACGTGTAAATAATGGGACTTCTGATCCCAAGTCGAGGACTCAGACTTCTGTTTTCATGTGTGAAACATGCATCCAAAAGTTCATAGAAACATCAAACTGTGACTTTTATGAAAATATTTTACACATAATAAGAAATGTTTTATAAAAATACAGTCAGGATTACATTTATCTCGGCAAAAGTTCCAGCATTTCTTAACAATGGCTCCCTGAGGCCCACCTCCCTGGTGAACCAGGGGGGCGGGTCTATTAAGAGAGATTAAATGACTGACACACTGGGGCACCAATGGGAGACCTGTCTGCTCAGGCACATCCATGCTAGCACAAATGAGCAATCCCTAAAGCTGATCTTACTTAACTAGTTCTGCAGAATAAAAAATTAAACTATCAGCCCTCTTGATTTTTTTTTTTAAAGAGTTCGCCTACTCCAAGACCTCAAAGCTGTACTTCCACTGACATAGTGTTAACGTCCCCAGTGCTCTTTAACCCTTGCTTGGAATGAGCTGTACTTTGGCCCTGGACAGAGGCCTCTCATACAAGGCTGCTCACTCCTCACAGGTAGGGGAGGGTATATTTACCAGGGTCTTCTCAGGTCCGATCATGTTTCTGATGAGTCGGCATCTACGGATGTCATCCTGGAGATCAGCACCAACTTTTACCTTAAACCTATAAAAAATAAAAATTTGGTCTCATAATTTAGATCTGTGCTGACTTGGCAAAGACACTTGGACTTCCTGCAGAAGTGACTGTTTCCGTCAATAATTCACAGGACACGTTTTCTAGTAAACTCTTGCCCTTTCCCAATCTTGAGACAAGTCACTCAAAAATAACCTTGCAAGCGATATCTCTTCACTCAGTATCGGGGCACTAACTGTAAATTACCTGCTGACCTGAAGTCCAGGGACGGAGAGAGCAGCTAGGTCTTTAATAACATTCACTGAGTTTTTGCTGTGCCGTGAAAAGGAGTTAAGAACAAAAAAGGCCCAGTCAGCCTTGAGGAGAGCAGAGCTGGGAAGGGAGCCCAGCGAGGCATCCTGCTCCATCCCAAATGTGAACAGCACAACTGATAGCTACCTCCACTCCATGGCCCTTTACAAGAGGGCTTCATCCTAAATCAACTCAGAGGTTGGCTGGGGGCCGGGGGCCAGGGCCCGAGGCTAGACGAGGAAGGGACCCCATCACAGAACTGCGGAGGGGCGGAGGCTCCTTCATGCCCCAGCCGGCTGCTGGCAGGCAGCTCCCTTCATCTGTCGATGAGCCACTGTTCTTGAGACCCCAGTCTTACATCCTTTCCCATGACCCCAAGCCCCGGATTCGGTCATCAGGAGAGCCTGGTTGGCTTGATGCAACACTGCCACGTGGAGGAGGCGACACCCTCTCCCTCGCTCACCAGCCTCCCTTCTCTCCACGCGGCTGTCAGGCTGCCCGAGGGCCTCCCTCTACTTTCCACATCCCCCACACTCTGTGCTGACAAAAAGCTCCTCCCAAATCCTCTGCCGTTTCAGCAACAAACACACTAAAGACATTTCTATCCCAGGTGGAAGCTTCAGCTTCGGGACACCAGGCTTCCTGTGCTCAAGAGGCCTAGGAAATCTCTCCTCAGCCTTCTCTGATGCAGAGCTGACTGCTGCTTCAGCCTTTCCAGGGTACGTGGGGGGAGGGGAGGGGCCGGCATTTACTGAGCACCTGCTATGAATCCTGACTCTGCTGGTCCTTTTCAGAGACAGCAACTTTGAGAACCATCAGATACTATTATTTTCATCGTATACAGAGAGAAAATGAGGTTCAGAGAGGTTGAACAAGTTGCCCATGGTCACACAGCAGGTACTGCAGG